CTGATGAAGAAGGGATTGCCAAATATTTTATAACGAATTGTTGTCATTAATTAAATATATATTTTTTTTTTTTTTGAATTCGAATTCTGCCGATCAATTTGAATCCCTGCCTGATAAAAGAGTGCCTAGCCTTAATTAAATGTATTAGTGTGAATATCATATCAAAAATCACCAGGTAAAATGTAGATAGTTAAACCAATACAAAACATCTGGAATGTTCAAAAATACACTTTATTATTAATTTCCACTATTTGCTTAAAAGAACATAATGTGTTTGTTGTGAAGTGTAGGAAGCTAGTTTTTAAGTAAGTAATTGCTGATGACTAAAATCACAATTCATCCAAATTAATGTATTTGTATATAGTACAATTCCTTATGATTATTATTATTTAAGAATTTTGATATTTCCTTTCCATAGACCATAAATAGTACCACGTTCAATATGTTCTCTTCTACAAGTGGACTCAAATTGTTTTTTAAAAAAATTATTATTTCATATGTTAAAATGCCAATTATTGACTATATTGCTGTGGCTGAAATCCAGTCACAACTTAAGTCTTGATAGTAAAAATTCTATAGTTAAGAAGTATATAAGATCTTAAAAGTCATCTGATAAAGCTTTAGGAAAAGCATTTGATAAGGTAAAAATCTTGTGACAATAATCCTCTTTAGAAATATCCTGAAATCTAATCAAGGAAATAAGTTCTTTTAATGTGTTGCCTAAATCGATAAAATTTTGTATGGTTCAAGTCATCTATAAATGTCACAGTCTGAAATTTAAAATTTTAGAAGTCTTTCTAATTTAAGTAATCAGGTTTCTTTTATTGAAAGATTTTCTGTATCACGAAGAATTTTTAAGCTGGTCATTAGCCTTTTAGGAAATCATAAGTCCCAATTTACTTATAGACATATATAAAATGGCCTAACTTTGAAGCCTTATAACTCAAAACTTTTCTAATAAAATGAAAAAAGTAAGCTGTTGGAAATGAAGCTTAGTTATTTAGCTTTAATTCTATCGGTTTACTTTTTCCTTTTCAATAAGGAGTTATAAGCTTTTAAAGTTATGTAATAATCATTGACCGTTATAAATGTCCTGCACTATAGTGTTATCCCATTGACTTGAGCCCAGCGATTCACTATTATTTGCCAACACCAAATTTGCGAGTATTTGAATGAAACCCAGAATGGCTTAGGTTTATATAATGATGATGGGTTACAGTCAACAGAGGAATGATTGCATATAATTATAATCCGGGGTCCTGGATGTACAAGTAGTTTGGGATTTGAGATTTTTCTGTTTTTTCAGTATTAAATGCATTTATGACCCGACTGGTTTCTATATCATTTTCATATTTTTAGGTACAGGGAAGCGTATCAAAATGCGTTTTTCTAATGCACTCCATATCAAAAATACGATTCTCCCATATGTATTCATTCAGTACAGTACCTATTCTGTACATAATTTTTATAGGGACATAGATTTGTTGAAATGAAGTTTGACTGTAGAACACTTCTCTGACAGTGAACTTTCACTTTTGAAAATTATACATGTACTCCGTACTATTCAGTATAGATACTAGTTCATTTTTCGTATTAGTATTATCATGTATTCAGTACTAGTTATAGGATGGAATGAATGCATAAGAAAATTGTATTTAAAATCGCGTTTCAACGAATTTTATATGTGAAGCAGAATCAATAATTCGTTGAAACAAGATTTGCTGAAATAAAGATTAATTTATTTATATGAGTATATATCGATTCTAATGTTATTATTTATAAGATTTGGAACGTGTTGAATTATGAATTACCGTATGTTTCAATACAATTATTATATTAATATATATTTTCATAATATAAAAGCCATCAAATAAATAACTATTTTTTAGATTTATTTACATGGATAAAATAGCAAATAATTAATAATATACATTATGTATATTATACCGCTTGCTTAACAATATATATATATGCCATTTTTAATCAATTTCTAGATCCGAAATATCAGTATTATTATCACTCAAGAAATCTAATGTTGGTGAAATTACTAT